TGATTATATTTTTAAGTATTGATTACCTGCTCTTTAGGTTTCGTGGGGTTCGCTTCCAACTGCTGAAGCATATCTCTTGCAGCTGCATAAATACGATGCTAGCATTGCCACTCACAAAATCATTGAAGATGACGGTAAGCTTAATATCTCATTTTTTAAAATAGTTTAGTTTATTGTGTTAAAGTAAATTGTTTTCCGTTACCGCTCAAGGTATTTCTTTACTTCCTCCTTTTTGATCTTGTTAATTTGACATTTGTTATCAGTGCTCTAACCACTTTCTCTAAGCTGTATGTTTAGCTTCGAGACAGCCGGGTTCACTGGGAAAATCTCCTTCATTACCTGCTCAGAAGATGTTGGTGCAAAGGGGACCCGGAGCAACTGGAAGTGTTATGAAGGTAAGCATTCAAGTAGTTCAGATGTCAGTTTTTTGTTCAAAATAGAAATCTCTTCCTTCTTTCTTGATAATTATGTCTTTTATTAGTTAGCACTTTTTTTGAGTTGGCGTGCTAATTAGAGGTACTAAAAAACAAGTTAAATGTCAAGGTTGTGCGAGGCACGGGACCAGGTCAACAAATTCTACGTGTTGTGAGACCATTATCGAGCGTTGCTGGAGGCGCAACTCTACCGACTGTTGTAAAACCAGGCCCTGGTGCTAAGACCATTTTCTTGTCAAAGGGCGGCACTCAACAAAAGTCTGTTAACCGTTGCTTAGAAAACTAGCTGAGATCTTGAAACATTTGTTTTGAGGGTGATGTATGTACAAGGCGGTGTTCCTGTTGCTCCTCCTGGCGTGATGTTGTCAAGAGCTGGAGTTGCTATGACTGGTGGAGTTGATCAGCAAGGCACACTGCCAATCGCACCTCATCAACAATCCAGCATATCTACTCAGGGCACAACATACACAGCTCCATCAAATTCGCGTCAAAATGATGAAGTATGCCTGATCCATTTGCGGGCTTGAATATTTTATACCACTCAGGTCTATGATATCCTCTTTACAGGCTACTCTCCCCCAAAATCTATTCGACGAATTACCAAATGACGAACAGTCCCCTCCTTCGCCTCCAAAACAGAGAGCCGCAGAAGGCGATACTCCTCAAGTTTCTACTTCGGTTGCTTCAACACAATCTGAGGCACCCCATCTTGCTGAGCATC